TAATTAACGAAGCCACTAACTGGGTGCGTACTTATGCAACAAGGGCCTCTTTAGCTATAATATGTATCAATTCAATGGAGGACGAATGTGTTATCACGAACCAAACAAGCATGTTCTTCAAGAGTGAACTTATGAAAACAGCGCAATGATCTCACATACAAACGCAATGCGATAAACAATATATAAATAATACTCTTCTTTTAAAATAACACACTCATGTTACCCTCCAACTGATTTTGTTTGGAGATGGGGGATAAAACATGTCAAAAATATCGTCTCTACACCTTTGTTTTATTTTAATAAAATAATTTTAAATCACGCTCACTTCAATTTAGGCATAGTGAAAGAATACAAACCGACAGTTTTTCTTTGCAAGAAAAATTAATAATATTGATTAAAAAAAACGTATCTAATATCTATAAAAAAAGTTCTCCTTGGAGTATTCGATTATCGATAAAGTACTGAAACAATAGGAAGGTAACTTCTAGGATGACTTGAATCATGGTGGGACAAAGAAAAAAAATAATCACCACTTTTTGTGTTCGACGGAAGTATTTTTTTATATAAATGTTGTTTCTGTTTAATTTTTTAAAACATGTACCTGAACTGGAGATTGGACATATGTCGATGAAGAGCTTTGTCACTTTTAACAAAGCCTCTCTTCTCTAACAGCGATACGACAAGGCTAATAACGCACAATTTTAAACAGTGATCACTTCTCAACTTTTCTCGGTTTTTCGCATATGTACTATTCAAAAAAGAAATTGAAAGTCTTGTCGTAACTGGAAAGACTGAAAGACAGAGGTTGACTTATGTCATGAGTCCCAGTGATGATGGAAGAACTGAAAGACAGAGGTTGACTTCTGTCATGAGTCCCAATGATGATGGAAGGACTGAAAGACAGAGGTTGACTTATGTCACGAGTCCCAGTGATGATGGAAGGACTGAAAGACAGAGTTTGACTTATGTCATGAGTCCCAGTGATGATGGAAGGACTGAAAGACAGAGGTTGACTTATGTCATGAGTCCCAGTGATGATGGAAAGCCTGAAAGACAGAGGTTGACTTATGTCAAGAGTTCCACTGATGATGGAAAGACTGAAAGACAGAGATTGACTTATTTCAAGAGTCCCACTGATGATGGAAAGACTGAAAGACAGAGATTGACTTATGTCAAGAGTCCCACTGATGATGGAAAGACTGAAAGACAGAGACTGACTTATGTCATGAGTCCCAGTGATGAATGTATCCACATTGGAAATTATTTGTCTCGCAAGAAGAGATCTGTGTAAGACCATGGATACAGACTCTATGTACTATATCCATAACATAGAGTCTGTATCCATGGTACATAGAGCCATATCCATATCTATGTACCATGGATATGGTACATAGAGTCTGTCCGATAACCTATGTAGGCGAACTAAAGAATATTGTTACATTTTTTAAAGTTTTTTTCCAAGATGCGATAAGTTTGGCACCATATAATTATCAATGTCTCTAGTCTATGTACTGTTAGAGTTTCGATTCAATTCAGACTTTTATATTTTGCGATAATACACGGAAAACACGGTTTTCTTTCAATATACATTTCGATTTGCTGAAATTTATTGCACAGCTGCAATACTGAGCTCGCGTCTGGAGTTAAAAATAAAAACAACGTTATAAACTATCGGGTATTTTTTTAATGAAAAGATATTGCTAATCATAATTCATAAACAGATCCAAAATATGTACTCGTGGTTTGTGGTTATTAATCTTTTTTAAGAGATATATTTTCCTTTTTCGTTTATTCAAATGGTCATTACTTACCGCAATGAAGACAGCCCCAGAAATTTAACTTTCTCTTCTAATTCCACCGACACAGTATCATCATGAGCTATTTTTCCCCAACTTGGATATTACACCATTTGTCTTTAAGCGTTTGTATTCTAATCTATAGTATTCTACAACTAGAAATTTTCCCATGTGTCTTTCAGAGACTTCCTTTTGTCGTACTTCAACTTTCCAGAACTAGGGCAAACCTGTTCAGGTGCTGTCACCATTAAAAGACGCATATACCGTTTTAACTCTACGAAAATAACTATTAGTATTACTTATAAGTTATATTCAGACACTTAATAGATTTACTTGAGACAAAATGGCGATATTTTAAGCGTACTGAATTCCTCAACCTGTGAAAACTTTCAATGAATACACTAATTCTAACTACCAAGTAAACAATGTGCTCATTCACGAAGATTAGTTGAATATACAGTTAAAGCTTACATTTACCCACCAGTTTCGCACAGGACAACCAAGTGGGCCGATTACGCGCTGCGAGGTATATCCAGTAGAGGTACGACGAATCCAAGTTTTGTCAAGGGGTGGTTTATGAAGTCTACTTTGTGGGTGTTAACACTAGGTTATAGAGATTGTTCCACCCGAACATAGTTAATTGCGTCATGGTTTGAAATTCCTGGCATTTTCATAAGTTTGCTGTAACTATCTTGAGTAAAACTTTAAGACGTCATTCTTGTGATATAGAAATGTAAAATAACAAAAACGACTTCTTCAAGGATATTAGTTTTTATCCTTGTATATATGTTACTCTAATGACAACTAAACAGTTATAAACTCGTTTTCGCTTAAATTATAAACTAGTTTTTATACCAAATTAATAATCTTTTAGGGATACTTTGATGGCCGATTTACTAAACATAGACGCCATTACATTTAATTATACAACATCATCATTATACTAAATACAAAGTGTGAAACATGGAGCTTTTTTGTAGAGATTTATTGACCACCACAAAAAGGAAAGGTATATTATGCACAAACTTATTTTGCTGCGACTTATATATATATATATTATCCATTATAAACGTATGAAAAAAATTAAATAGTATGTTGAAACACGAGCATCAAACAGCACAAAGAAGCACAATGTTGATTACTGGTGTGTTAGCGAGAATCAGGTCAAATTGTTATCTTGCTAAGAAACAGGAAACATAATAAATGTGTTCGCAATTACACATTTGTCTTCACCTTTATCGGTATTTACAGTATACACTTTTTATTCTATAGGTGTGTGTGAGTCTTGTATACCAGCACTAATATAACCTTCTTTAATAATGTTCTATTCAACAGGAGAGTAGAAATTATAAAAGTAGAAGGAAAGGTTTGGGTCCTTCCTGATGACAAATCTAAGTGGCAATGCTTCTGGTGGGGGCTGTTCAGGTAGCCGAAGTCCTACGTAGAAAACGTTTAAAGGTGTCTCAGGATGTTCATACATGTTTGTCCTGACAAATCCAAGTGGTAATGCTTCTGGTGGGGGCTGTTCAGGTAGCCGAAGTCCTACGTAGAAAACGTTTAAAGGTGTCTCAGGATGTTCATACATGTTTGTCCTAAACATCAAAACCAGGTTCATCCAAAAGCTCTAACTTGCATGATACGATCTCCACAAATTCCCTTGGTTTATGCATCTTTTGAGTCCACATACTATATTTTGGTCATATCGGCTTTCAACCAATCAGTTTTGATACAACATGAACAATACAACTTGACAGAAAACTGTGTCATTTTTTCTGTTGCATTGAATATTAAACACACACAAACGTTTTCTATAGTTAATCAAAAGTGTTTTTAGAAAGTGTACTTTCGTCGATTCATAATGTGTAAACGTAGCTTCTCACATTCCCTTTTTCTCTTTTCTTGGGTTCCTAAATATTGATTTTTGGCAGAAGGCAGTTATTCTTATCTTTCAATGCAAAAGTTTCGGTGGGCACCCGCCACTTTCCCTTGTTTCTCTTTCTGCGACTGTATTTTTCTTTATACCTGTTGAATTAAGTTATTTTAGTATGAATAAAAGTCTATATGATCACAAGTACTAACTATCTTTTCTGCCTCTATCTATACATCTGTTCATTACTAACATAATAACTTACAGCCAGTCGGTGGTAGAAAGTATATCCTATGGGAGCTTCACTTTATGCCAATTTTCTAAATACTAACACTTTTTTTTCCTTATTCTGTATCTAACAAGAACTGGTGAAATGCTGAATCATTTATAATCACTAATTAACGAACATGTAGGTTATCGATAGCTCCTGGTGTAACTATAATAGCAAAATTCAAGACTATTATTAAATTTAATGCATTAAATGTACCGAATTCAGACAGTAGAAATCTTGACCACATCTCTACAGTGAAATGGATTGCTTTGAACAAGAAGTGACGCAACTGCCTTGTCATTCCTTCCAAGTTTCTCGACTTAACTACCACACCTCCTCACTTTTGATACACTTCCCCTGTCTTGCAAAACTTTTCTTGAAGATGAACGCTACTGAAAATCCTCGCAAAGATTTTGCTCATTTGTGCGTGTTTTTGTGTTTTCAAGAGAAGAAATACGGAGGAATGTAGTTTTCTTAAAATAACCTGGAAAACTCTTAAGGTAAGACTTTTAACTGTCGGGTTTTCATCAAGAGCAGAGCTGGATATGCAATTTGCCTCTCAAATAATTAGTCAACTTGCACATCTAATAAATTTACGTTAACAGAAATATCTAGCAATAAACTCCAGTTTGCGTTAAACGGAGTGAAGAATAACCTGTAATTACTTATTAGTGTTGCCAACAACGTTTGTAATCACTTTTCGGTCTTTGCTAATATAATAAATAGCATAATATCAATAAGTAAGTGAATAATGTATCAAGAATGTGTTGATCTTACAGTTTGTGCTTTGGAAACATCAAAAATGGCATTTCAAATTTTGGTATTTTCTATAGTTAGTGCTTTTGTAGTACCAATAACATTGTATAAAACACAATGCTTCTTACAGTTTGTATTTTGGTAATATTTACAACACCATATTAAAACTATATTCTTGCAGTTTTACTTTTATAGTATCATCAATATCTTATTAAAACTGGATGTTTCTTACAGTTTATATTTTGATGATGTCTAAATATACTAATAGTCGATATTTCATAATGTAAATGTTTCAGTAATATATGAAATATTTAAGCCGTCATTTGACAATAATATATCTGTATGAGTCCGCTTATAACTGGCGAACTGCTGGACCGATTGTCGCCAAACCTGACATATACCTTTAGGTTCCCATCTGACTCCTCTATGTCCCCACTTGGGGCTATTATTTCCTCCATGTTTTAAACGGGTATGTCAAATAGTATTT